TAAGACATGATGAGGCCTCCACTAAGCCACAGGAGCCAGGACAGAAAAGAGGAAACAGATGTGAGAAACAGAAAGATGGTTGAGTGTTATCAACAGATGTTTTCATCAGCTGGATTTGAGAAGTGAGGGGCAAGTCTAAGGTAGTTCACTCCCAGGTCGGTTTGTGGTTTAGGCAATTGAGTAGAAAGTAGTGTCACTGACAGAGGCACAGGCTTCAGCACAAAAGATGGGTTCAGTTTGGGAAATGTCAAGACAAAGGTGCCTTTAGAACATTCAAATAAAGAAGTTAACCAGGAGGCTAACTATGCTCTTCCTTTTGATGATTCTTGTACTTGGTCTCTTGCGCTGATACTATACAAATAGATTCCTAAATCTCTGTGCAACACTTCTGAATTGAGACAAGTGTATCCCCCATTTGCAGAAAGAGATCCAGAGATGAGAAATCAAACTTCACACACCCAAAATTATTTTACAACTTTTTTTTACTAAAAGAATAGATTTTTATTAAGCGTTGTAAGTTTCTTTCCATCAGCATTAACAGAACAACAGACCAATTTCCATCACAGAACAACTCCTGAGACATTCTTATTCCTTTCTGAAACTCTTCCATTAACTCCTGCAGTTTCCCCAAAGAAGCATCCATTCAAACTTACATTAATAAACTATGGAGCTTTTGTGGTGAGGTGGACCAAAAAGGCAGGGAATCTGGAATCTGGGAGTGGGAAAGAGAAATACATCCACTAAACACACTGTCAAGAGCACAGGAGAGAAGATAGTAATACAGGAAAAAAACAAGGAAGTAATTTTTTACTTTTGTCAATAACATCATTTATCAGGGAGCACTAAAAGTCACTGACTCCTTGCAGTTAAAGTTTCTTTATCTAGTGTGTTATTCTAAAAACAGAATAGAACAGATTAGGAATAGAACAGATTAGGAATAGAATAGAATAGAATAGAATAGAATAGAATAGAATAGAATAGAATAAGGTAGGAGGGGAAGTGCCTTCTGGGAAGTAACTAAAATGAAGTCATCAGATTTGGCAGGGTTATGAGAGATTACTAAAGTCTGAAATATTTATTTTGCTTCATTTACATGAAAATTCACTAGTCATTACTTACTACCAACACGGACAAAAAGAGCATCTATAAAAGTACAGAGGCAACATCGAAAGCTGAAATGGGCACCCTAGCACAGGGGATTTTGTATTTTGCTTTTAACTTGGATAAGATGGATTTTGTAAAAAATGACTTTATTTTCTTCGAACATCAAAATAACCTCTGACAATATTGAAGATAATTAGCGGTAACAGGGGAATAGGTGCACTGAGCTCTCTACCTGCACCAGCAGACTACTGCAATAAGCCAAGGGAAAAGAAAATAGAAAGTCGAATAAGAAGATGCCAAAGTCACAGGATGGAGGAAAATACAAGATGACACGCAATCGAACAGTGAAAACTCAACCCCCCCCCCAAAAAAAAACCCCAGGCATATTTAGGAAATATGCACCAGGAAGTGAACAAGTATAATGATTAAACCTTAGTAGAATTATACTAACTACTTTAAACTGTGGTCTACTTGTACTGACATTTTAAAGGTGGGTGGGCAGTAGAGGCTGTAATGGTTAACACTGACATGCCCAAAGGAGCCCTGTAAGGTTCCAAAGGACTGGATCGCCATAACCAAACAGCAACCCCCACATTCTTTCTACCCTACATAAGCATTCCTGCCGCCGACCCTCCACCTTAACTGCCCGCCATAATATGCCTTGTTCGGCTGTTTTTCTCAGTGATCAAAAAAAGTTCATGTGACTTGGCCAACGGTATCGGAAATCAAGATGAAGACAAAAATCAAATGTCACTAGCCAAAACGAGTACCACTTCTTGGGCTTTAAAGTCTACCCAAAGTCCTACTGGTTCAGAATGAAAATGATGCAAGTGAGCGTAAGTTTGTTAGGTCTGGTCCAGACCAGACTGAACTGGTCACTGACTGAATAAGGGCAGGAGTTATAAGCTGATCCCAAGACATACCAGCAGAAATATAAACAACTGCAAGTCCTTGGGGATCAGTGACTATACACAACCAGGAAGTTTTGCTTATGGTCCTACAATGTAAAGGGGTCATTTCTAGGGGTTCCCATATCACTTTGTTCAAGAGAGGTCACATCACAGCTAAAAATGGAACCTCAAGTGAAGGATGACAGTCTCTTCCAGTGGTACAGCAAAGGCAAAGATCAGACCCCACGTTCCACAATTTGTCTTCCAATTAGAGAAAGTTCATCTCTCAGTAATGAACCTTAGGTTTCCTGGCTTTTAAGCTGTATATTTTGTCAGATAAATACATCAGTCTAGGAATATGGCCATTTATGGTGCTTTCTTATAATGTTCTGAACCCAAAACGCTGAATCCAAATAAAAAATCAAGGTTAAGATGACCCACTTGTTTCACCCTGGGCTAGGGGAAATAGAGGTGTGTGGAAGGAAGAAAAGCCTTTTGGCAAACTGGAAGCATCCCTGCCAAAGCAGCAATTTTACCTCTTACAGTGACTGCCTACAAAGTAAAACATCTTCTTAATGATGTGAGAGTTAACAATACTGTCATCTGATTGTGTCAGATTCAAGATGCACAGAAACAGCAACTGCAAAAAATACTTCGCCAATTTTAAGTCCAAGTGCTTCCTATTAGAAAATGGAGATATAGGTCTCACAGCTCAGTGATACTGGTTGCTTTTAGAGCTCCAAAGGATTCATCCCTCTGTGACTCCAGAAAGAAAATTCCAGGCCATGTAAATTTACTACTATCCCTTCCCTAAGCTGGATATAGGAGTCCTACCTTCAAGATGTTGTGAAAGGTTTGGCAGGTCCAACAGAAGAAGGGGGACCACATTAGGGGAGCTGATTCCAAAGAGGAGGTTTCTGTATACTTTGTTTCTACTTCGGTTTAGCTAGATGCACACTCTTGTAATCTTTCTTTGGTTTATGTAAGAAGTATCTGGGCAGGGGTCAAGGCATTCCAGGGCTCCCTCCCCCTGAAAATCATGGATTCTCTTAATCTGGAACAGACTAGGACTAAATAGTCTGACGCTGTTTTCAATTTCCTATGATATGATCATTGTAAGTGGGCAGTGAGCAAATAGCCTTCTGGTTGTCTGGGCAAAAATCACCAAGGACCTGCTGTGGGTTAAGGTGCACGAGGTTTTTCAAAAAGAACCCTGCTAGAAGATTAGTCAGTTGTATTTCTGTAGAAACGGTACTTCTTGGGCAAGAATATCACAAAGCCCAAAAGGAGGTATGTGAGGCTGGAAGCCTCAATTCCTGAATAAAGACACAATGCTAATTTTTTTGCAAGCCATGTTTCCATCCCTCATACTTAGGCTGCCAAGGAGGGAAACTGGAAATGCAAGGTTGTCTCAATATTATCTCCAGCAAGGAGGAATAGCCTCTTTATCCTGGGCAGATCCTGGCCACACAGGGGGCTGAGAATCTTTTATAAAATACATCTCAAGGCCCAGGCCAGAGTCCTCTAAAGTCTTCCTTGCAAAGCAAATGAAAAGATCCGGTAGTCAGGATGTCAATGAACAAATGAAACAATCTAGGCGTGTAAAATCAAATAGTTTCCTCACACTTCCCTACCCTATCTTTCCAAAGCTAGTCCTCTCTCCTTCAGGGATTCATGTCAATCAATTCTAGCCTGAAACCAATTTGACCCTGGCGTTCCAGAAGAGATTTCCTCCAAATTGGCCAAAAGCCCTTTCAAATGGTAGTGACCTCCCACCCCCGCTTTTCTCTCCAAACCTTCATAAGGAAATGCCCAACTCTTCCCAATCCCATTCCAACCTCCTGTTTTTCACCATATGGGATGTGAGGGCTCTGTTCAAGATTAAGCTTGTAACAACCCAAGTGTTTGTTGTTCTGAACAGGCAATTTCTGGAAAGCGCTTTTTGTCTGATTTAGAGAAGCCCATCCAACTTCTCGTAATTGTGATGGGCTATGACTTAGTTAAGAATTTCACATTTAAAGTGTGGTCTTTTGAAACCTTCCACTCCATAGCAGTGGAAGCATTTCTGGGAAATTCAGTAAATCCTCTGGGACATCACCATGTATGCATGTATGTATGTGTATATATATACACACATATATACACACATACACACACACACATATATAAAATATGTATAGATAAATAGATCTGTCTCTTTATATAAAGGGTATGTGTATGCATATAGATACACACATCATATATACACCCACACCCACACACCCACACACACACACACACACACCCACACACACACACACAGTCTTTTCAGTACTCAAGTTCATCACACTGATTCCCACCCTTTCATGGTGTGGGCAGTAGGGAGTGAATGAACTATGCCACATCTCCTATTTTACAAACAATGCACTGGTTGACAGGCAGGAAAAATCTGCCCAGTACTTTCCTGATTCACTTGAATCCCCCAGTACAAAGGCCATTGATAGTTCTTTTGAAGTGTATAAAATAAAAAATAAAATAACCAATACTACCTTACTTTTCTGAAAACATCTACCTATCTGATTGTCAGGCCAAAGCTAGAGGTGGTGGTACAAAATCCAGGGGGAGGTAAGTTGGAATAAGTGAGGAAGAGGTGGATACCACTTCACAGAGAAAATAATCATAAAAAATAATAACAACCTCACAGGCTTATCACATAAGTCTGTGATAATGAGTATCATTATAAATATTCAGAAAAAACAAATCTGGAACTTTTTTTTTCTTTTTTTTTTTGAGATGGAGTCTCGCTGTGTAGCCCAGGCTGGAGTGCAGTGGTGCGATCTCGGCTCACTGCAGCCTCCACCTCCCAGGTCTCGGGTCAAGCAATTCTCCTACCCCAGCCTCCCAAGCAGCTGAGATTACAGGCACGAGCCACCATGCCCAGCTAACTTTTGTATTTTTTAGTAGAGGTGGGGTTTCACCATGTTGGCCAGTCTGGTCTTAAACTCCTGACCTCGTGATCTGCCCACCTCAGCCTCCCAAAGTGCTGGGATTACAGGCGTGAGCCACCACGCCCAGCCCAAATCTGGAACTTTTCTATAGGACCTTATGTGATAACACCCAATTTCTGACAGGTACTGCCTTACTAGGCTCCCAGAGGAGATGATGAAAATAATGGTGCTATATATTCAATTTGAGAATAGGAGCTAGTCTTACTGCCATTCATCTTTGACCAGAACTTATCCAGAAACAGACCACTGAATCTGAAGGCCCAGAAAAAGGCAGGGAAGGGAAAAAGATGGACACAATAGAACATCCCACCAAAATCCTGGAGGAATCTAGGGTAAGCATTTATATCCTCCTCTAGCTTGGGCCTAAAATCAGAAAAGTAAAAGTTTCCCTCTTCCCAGTTTGGTGAAGCCATCTTCAGCTTGTCAGTCCTCTTTCCGTTGTGTCACAGTTTCTAGCTTTTGCTCCTGTAAGAGGTTCTTCTCCCCATTCTTCATAGGGAGGTAGCGGTTACCACTACTATACTCGTTGCTGTCTCTGGATAAGGCACATTGTGATGGAGCTAGAAGATGATGATCACTCTTCTCTTCCTTGATCAATGCGCCACTGTTTCCATTTACCTGGGAGCGAGACCGACCTTGATGAAGCTCCAGGGATTTAGAAATTGCATCTGAAGAGCCCTGTTAAAAACAGAGATACTCAGTGGAAATGGGAATCCCAGACTGGCTGACCCTTCCTAAACATATTCATAAATTAGCCTGAGGAAATGGTTTCAGTTCTTCAAAAACACCAGAAGACCGCAAGGTGGTTGATATCTAGTATATTCTTTTTTTACTTTTTTTTGAGACAGAGTCTTGTTCTGTTGCCCAGGCTGGACTGTAGTCTGCAATCTGGGCTCACTGCAATCTCTGCCTCCAAGGTTCAAGCAATCCTCCCACCTCAGTCTCCCGAGTAGCTGGGACTACAGGCGTCTGCCACCATGCCTGGCTAATTTCTGTATTTTTAGCAGAGACGGGGTTTTCACCATGTTAGCCAGGCTGGCCTCCAGCTCCTGGCTTTAAGTGATTTGCTCGCCTCAGCCTCCCAAAGTGCTGAGATTAAAGATGTCAGCCACCATGCCCAGCCCGATACCTAGTACATTCTAGTATCATCTTGAGAACTTAGGGTGACAGCATATAGACCCAACTGAAATCCAATGGCAATGTTAACACAATAATGACACACCTTTTTGCTTTTTTTTTTTTTTTGAGACAGGGTCTTGCTCTGTCACCCAGGGTGGGGTTCAGTGGTACAATCCTGGCTCACTGTAGCCTCAACTTCCTAGGCTCAAGCCATCTTCCCACCTCAGCCCCACGAGTAGCTGGGACTACAGGCAGTTAATTTTTATTAACCACATCCAGTTCAGGGTTTCACCATGTTGGCCACACTGGTCTCAAATTCCTGAACTCAGGTTATCCGCCTGCCTCGGCCTCCCAACGTGCTGGATTACAGGCGAGAGCCACTGCACCCGGCCCAATGCGGGCTCTTAATGAATGTTGCTGGGAATAATCACAGCTTCTGATTACTCAGGGGTTGGACATACCACATACTCTGTTGTTCCTTTTACAGATAAGAAAACTGAAGCTCCTAGGAGGTGGTCAAGGCAGGCAGACTGCTTGAACTCAGGAGTCTGAGACCAGCCTGGCCAACATTACGAAACCCTATCTCTAAAAAAATTACAAAAATTAGCTGGG